CACGTCCTTTAGTGGACGTGGTTTTTGTATGTTAAAAACAAACTCTTAACGCGACACCTCAGGTATGAGGTAGAGCCTAATAAAATAATATAATAATACGCTATAAGAATTTAAATAGGGGAGGTGAGCACTCCCACCCTAGAAAATTTTGAGATCTCTCTCTCTGTGGTCGAAACACAGTGAATTCCTCTCTCGAACCGAATTTTTTATCGGAAGCTCCCTCTCAAATATTTGTGGGTAAGTGACATCGTCTTCCTGAAAAATAGTCTGTTTTTAATAAATAGTGATATTTCCGTCCAGGATCTTTATTTTATAAGTTTTATGTGTAAGTGACCCCATTGTCTCGAAAAATAATCCATTTTTTTTAAAAATGAAATGAAATAATTATTTCTACTTATTATCATGAATTTTAGGCGCGACAAATTTTATGCGCACGTGACCTCATTATCTTGAAAAATAATCTTTTTACTAAAAATTGTGATATTTTATCTATGTTAGAAATTTTGAATGCTGTAAATTCTTAGAAAAATAAATTTATTTATTTTTCTTGTCTATTGTTCGAAATAAATGTGATATTTCTGCTTTTAGTAAAATTGTGATATTTCTTTCTACTGTTTTGAATATTTAGACATTGTAAAATTCATGTGCAAATGACTGCCTTATTATTTAAAAATTGACATTTTTGCAATTGATTATAGTATTGTTGTGAAATGTTTATTTGTGGATTGATATCCCATAAATTGTGATAATTCCGTATTCTTGAATTTCTATAAGAGTTTTTTTTATACATATTAAATTGACAATTATGCTAAAATGCCTTTACAAACTGCTACCTTTCTAAATTTGAGCCCAAAATATTTGATTAGTTATTTTTGAAATGTTATAGAGAGTGACTGTTATTAATGGTTTAAGTGAAATTCATATTAATGATTTCAGTGATATGTTGAGCACATGATATTGCTGCTTTCGAATGTTTAAAGAGATTTAGAAATAATTTAAGTATACAAGTGGACTCATCCGATTCGCCGGTGAGGTATAAGTGGACCTATCCGGGACGCCAGTAGGGATTAAGTGGACTCATCCGGTACGTCGGTGAGGTATAAGTGGACCTGCAGGGATTAAGTTGACTTATCTGGGACGTCGATAGGGATTAAGTGGACTTATCAGGACACTGATAGGGTATATAGGTGACCTACTTGGGACACCAATAGGGTATTTTGTGAAATCCTTTGAATTATGCATTGACGCGTTAAAGTGTTATGTGCATTTCAATCATTTGGATTGTGTTTAATTGTGCAAAAGTGAAACTGTTGATGCATTTCTGTTAATAGATCTTCTTTTTGAAAATATTGATATCTTTCAACCACGATTATTTTTTTAGGATTATGATGATCACTTACTGAGTAGCCAAACTCATCAAACTATGGTAAACATTTTTTCAGGAAAACTGCGGATTCATTTTGAGTGCTAGTCAATATCAACCTTGAAAGATATTGTTGTTGTGCTAGCTTTCTTTATTTACTTTGTAAGACCTCGCCACTGTAAATTTGTCCTATCAATAGATGTATATATGTTTTGTCTGTCACATCTCAGGAATAACAGTACTGTAAATTCTTGGGGTGTGACACAAGGCCCCCATAAATATTCGACCAACAGTTCTATCCATACTGATATGTATCCATAATGATGTATATCAATATTAACAAGATATCCATATGCTAACACTCAAGATATCCATACACTAACACTCCCCTCAAACTCAAGATGCTTTGACACAAAGCAGGTGGAGTTTGACTAATAAGTTCATAAACGAACGAGTTGGATCTTTAAGTCTTCACGTGTATGGCGTGACCAATAGAAGCAGTGGTCTCCATGCTCAGATTGTTTGAATAACAAGCACAGAATGACACTTGCACGAGCCAACAAAACTCGTTGTAGATCCGAGGCAGATTCAGTAACTCGCAGTCCGAGACAGATTCAACAGCTCGCAGTCTATAACACCGGCCATAACAGAGACAAAGGCTGTTTTGCTGAGAGTCGAAACACGACTTGGGAGAGAGTCGAAACAAACTCTGCAGAGAGTCGAAACAGACTCAACAGAAAGTCGAAACAGTGCTTCCTTGGTCTATGATACTCTCTCACTAAACTGAGAGTGTTGATTGATTCATCTATAGACGAAGAGGAGAGCTGAAGATTTTGTTAAATTGAAAGTGTGCTTCCTTGGTTTATGATACTCTCTCACTAAATTGAGAGTGTTGATTGATTCAACTATAGACGAAGAAGAGAGCTGAAATTTTTGTTAAATTGTAAGTGTTGATTGATTCAACCATGGACGAAGAAAAGAGCTGAAGTTTATGTACAAAGAGAAAGAGATGACGTTTAAGGATAAGATGGATGCACCAGTTAAAGCTTCGTGAGTCCCAATTCTCTCAACAAATGGCTGCTGTCCAAAGAGAGCTGAATGTGGCAGCTGCAGCTGTGCGTTCACAGGGGAGCATGGGGGTGGACCCTGAGGTGCTCATGGCTCGAGACCACAACGGGGACTCTCTTCTACAAAACCTTGCGGCTGTTGTAGAGGGAAGAAGCAAAGTTTTGGTAGAGATGTCAAGATTGGTTATACTGGAGAGCCAGTATAGGGCAGGTGGGGGTTTTAACATTGATGAGGCTCGATCAAGCCTTGAAGCAAGCTTTGCGAATGACGCTGAGATTGTGTTCACTACTGTCTCTAGCAGTGGGCGCAAGGGTTTGATATGGTGGTCATTGATGAGGAGGTTGGGGTGCTCCCTCCTCTTGAGAGAGAGAGAGTTTATGGGAGAAGGGACTTTTTTAGTATCTTGTTGGGTTTTTGATCCAGTTATAAATCGAACAATTTGGATTGGGTATCATCCAGCTCGTTTCGGATCCAGTCATAAAACGGGATCCGATCATTTTTATGGAGTCAAAAAACGGGATCCGAACATTTTTATCACTTGATGCCATCAAGTAACGTTAAGTGACATCACGGATTGGATGACAGATTCATCATCAATTATGACATCATAAAATGATTAGTATCAACATGCGACATCACAACAGCTCATCAAATCACCTACCCACCAGCGACAATTCATTTTAAAAACAAACGCTCAATAGCTTTTATATTTCTTGTTCAAGCCTATCATCTTCGATGTGGGATTGTTTTATTTCTATTTGACAACTAATCTACTAACAAAGCATGACTGAAGTAACAATCACAATGTATATTTAATCTCTTAGGTGAAAAAGCTTACCTATAAAGTACTTTTGGACCTAAAATATTTTCTTTTTGAATAATAAAAAAGATCTAAAATAATGTGTTCCACTTTACAATCTATCAATATTTATAAAAATAAAAAATAAAGAAAAAAGGATTTTGAGTTTCTAAGTACTTAATGAATTTTTTTATTTTTTATTAGGGTCTTACCTTTTTTTTGTATCATTTTTATTATAATATTGTAATTAATAATTATACTAATTACAATGATAATCAAAGCTTATATTTTATTTATTTACATTATAAATTATGTAATGTATTATTTTTTGTTATAGTTGTAAATTAGAGTTTTAAATTAGATGATATTATAAGACAAATTTCAAATTTATTCTTATTTATATATTAAAATGATGATAA